AGTTCAACGGTTCAGCGCACTTTCCTCACTATAAACAATCTTACGCGCTTGAAGCTCTCATGGCGCGCTAAAAGCCGCGGCTCGGGAGGCTGCCAATGACGGGATGAACTGGCGGTCAACCCAGTGTGTGTTTGTTGGGTAGCCGATTGACAATCTGAGTCAGGCTGCAAGGGCTCCTTCTTAATCTTGCGTTCGTGACACGCATTCTCCTTGAAATTTGAGCAAGGTGTGTTGGTACGCTCAGGGCCGGTTCTGACCACGCTAGCCACCTGCGCCTTCTCTTACCTTCAGCATTTTTGAGTTGCTCACGAGGCTGGAACCAGTTGGAGAAGGTGGGGATAGTGCAGTAGATGCAGCAGAGGATGGTATACGCAAAGAGCTTTGTACTATCGCAGTGTGTATCTCGGTCGTTATTGGTGGGGAACTGAGAAATACTTGGCCTGTACTTTCATAATTGCACTCCATACTCTAGTGACCAAACCTGATCAAGTCCATCCTACTAATGACAGACGATGCTTTTCCCCACCGAGGTCTGCAGTAGCGGAAGTAGTGCGGCTGATCCTCGTTTGTTCAGTGGTGAAGATCTATTCTGTAGACCCAAACCCTACATTCGGATGTCGAGCTGACCCTCTATTTGCCCCTTTCTGTTTGCTGACATTCTTGCTTTCTACTGATTTCTTATAAGCAGGGTAAAGATAAGTAAGCAAGAGACTTAGAAAGCCATCACTGCACCTTATCCCGAAAAAAAGGCGGCTTTCATCGCCTGTTATGGACTAACTATCAGCTACTAATTTGACCCTTTTATATGAAAAAAACTGTAACACCAAACCAAGGCTTTACTCTTGTATCCAGCTAGTTATGATATCTTTTATTTCATGTTATCCTTGATCCTTCAGTAGCCCGTCGATTGTTGACAGAAGCGAACGGGCGAGCTCCGGGAAGCAGTTCCGAAGGGAAGCTGCGATCGCTAGAACGAGGAGCGATCGCATCTTTTCCTTTGGCCCGTCCTTTAAACCTCCCTTTTACAAACAAAATTAGAAGTAAATATGTTACCCTCTATTTATAGTAGTATATTTATGTTTAGTTGACTATTGTACTGTTTTTACCAGGCAATGCCTATTACCCTTAAGTATTCTGAACTATCTAAAGCTGTGAAGTTGCATGCAGAAAATTTGCATAAAACCAAAAGAAAAGTTCTTTCCTAAGCTTATATGGTAGACATACCTGTTTTGGATCGATTGCCAGCACAATGACATAGGAACCGTCCTTGGCGGGGCTTTCAATAGGCACATCCACAGGGATACGTGGCTGATCCACGATCAACTCTGGGGGACGTACATAGTAGCCATCCTCTACCTGGCCACAGTCGCGGCCTACAAAGCCCTGCTTACACTGACACCGTCCGGTCTCTCGGTCGCATTCGGGTCCTAGCGCGCCGAACGGGCTGCAGGCACAGGGTTGACAGCCAAGGGGTGAACTTGTGAGATTGAAATAGCCCGGCTAGAAAACGAAAAAATTGCATGGCATTTCGATGAATTGGTCTGAGTATAGTCGTTTTTTTCCTAAAATAATACCTTCTCTTTTTTCGATTGGATGTACCACCTTTTAACGTTTTCGTTAATACTGTGAGTAATCTTCTTACTAATTCGTTAGTAAACAACCATCAACTGTTTATAACTGGATTAGTTAATGACGCTCCATTGACCTTATAGCAAACTGGTTGTCGGGAAAATAAGGCACGAAAACTCTCAATGTTTAGGATTCAAGGAATTAAGGCCGGACTCATGCACGAGTATCTTACTGCTTTGACATACACCGAAGCATTTTGCCCTCTCTTTCGTGCGAATGCGTGAAGATACCATAACGTTGCCGGATTTGTGTATGCACCTCGATAATAAGGAAGGGCATGGGTGAATGAGACACAAACTTGCATCCTTCGCAGAAAATGGAACGAAGCCTACGGGTGGTTTTATAGCTTGTACATAGGCTGAGAGTGGGAACATTGCACAATTGTTTGCGCACGTTATGTACGGTAAATTACGATGAGGTGGAGAATAGCCTTGAGAGACAACTCAGCATGAAGCCAAATGCCGGCTTTAAGGAGGCAATTAACTTGGGACAATTAAGATAAACAGGACATTAGGTGTAGTTGATTATTTTAATAATCAGCAATAAGGTTTTGTGCAAACTATTTGAGATTCGAAAACAAAAAACTGCACCTTGTGGTGCGTGCCAATCGCCGACCTCTCGAATTCGCATCAAGTGAACTAAGCACCTGTTCAACCGTAGTCTCCGTGAGCAGTCGAAATAATTATACTTATACTTGCTCGATGAGTGTAATTTTCTACTAGCTATGGTTTTTGCGATGGTAAAGTCGTATTTTCGGTCGCTCTAGTCAATTCCAGGACACATTTTTTTGTGACTGGATGCCTTTCGTAGTTGCATATTTTGCATCAAAAATGGAAGCGGTTGCCATATATTCTAGGAGCGTGCCTTTAGCCTTCCCTTCAGGGAAACTCTACAACCCATGAAGTAAGTAAACAACAGTTTTCCTGGAAGGAATCTAAAAACGTCTAAGATACTTGCTGGTTGTAAATTAAAATTTTCCATTTACTATGACGGTTAATTCAGCTCGGCAGCTCCCGCTGCTTTCTATAAATCTGTCTATTTTTATATCCTATTTTCGTAAGACACAAAGCCAACCAAACGAGCTGAAACTTCAGGTTCCACAAAATTCCTTCGACGTCTCGAATTGGCTGTTTGCAGATATAGGACGCTTCACAATCCAGTTCCCACATCCGGAAATTCGAATAGTATTCATTTTTGCCTCATTATTGGAGACTTTTAAATTCTCTTTTAAGGATATGCATTAAGTGTATCACCGAATATCAGTGGTTCGCAATCAGTGCTGCATTGTTCGAAAAGCATTCAAATGCACCACGTAAGTGTTGATAACCTCAAAACAACTCAGACTGGGAACTGTCTTTGATGCGGAGCTCACAAGTTTCGGCCTTAAAAAACTGCAATAATGACATTTTGTGAGTACGCTTGTGAGAACAGCATTATCGCGTAAATTACCACACACACAAAATAATTTGAATGGTTAATTGCAGTTTTCAGACGTACCTGACAGCTATCGCAATATTCGCCGCCAACGTAACGCTTGCAAGTACACTTGCCCGTCATCGGGTCACATCCACTGTTCTCCCACGTGCCCAGCATATGACATCGACATGCTGAAGAAAGTACCATTTTTTTCCAATTAACAACTAACCTTCACATCCCTTGGGGTTGCTTGCCTGGAAGTTCCAGTACCCGACGCGACAACGATCACATTTATCGCCACCTACATTTTCCTTGCAGTTACACCGCCCAGCGACTGTGTTCTGCTGCGGGTCTGTGTACTGTTGACACTTTTCCGGATCGATCGAGCCATCGCCGTGACAGTTGCAAGCTGTTGATTAAAATGGGAACATATTTTTGTTAGACAAACGAAGCTACTCAAAAGGTTTCAGTAAACAGTTTTAATTAACATACGTTGACAGGTTTGGGGATGGTCGATGCCATATCCCGGGTACCGGTAAAATCCATCTGCGCAGAATTCACAGTGGATACCCTCGGTGTTGTGCTGGCAGGCGTGGCATTGGCCTCCGGAAACGTTGTTCGATTGAAGGTAGAGGAGTGGATTGAAGTAGCATTGGTTACTGTGATTATTGCATTCACATCCTAGTAAGGGAGAGGAAAACGTAGGAACGAGGGAAAATGAAAAAGACGAAAGTGATACGAAACGGTAAAAGTCTATAAAGGCCTGCCTGTGAGCTTCTGCTTCCGAAATCAAGTGTCAGGATGCGTAATGCTGGTAAGCTCAGCACTACGTC